GAAAAATATTTTTTTTAATTAAATATCAGAATATATAGAATTAAAATGTTAAAATATAAAAAGGTTTTGATACTAATTGAAAAAGTTGTGCCAAAAAAATGTTAAAAAACAATTAAAAAGGTGCAAAAATTAGATTTTTTTTTCAAAAAAATGTCTTTATGATAAAAAAAAATGTAGATAAAAATAAGTAGTGTTTTAAAAAGAGGAAAACGTGAATTTTAAGAAAAAAAAAACGTTATATGATTCATTCAAAAAAAGTACAATTATTTGCAATTGAAGTGGGGCATTTTTCTGGTTTGCATTTTTTTTTTAAATGCAATAAAATATTTTTTATCAAATATATACTGATATCGACATTATTTATGATTTTATAACTACTAGAAAATAAAACGATCGTTTCGCCAAGACGCCTCTCTCATAAAAATGTTTTTTTTTTGATGATATATTTCTAACTATATGTTTTAATTATAAGAAAACAGCACATATACTTGAATATAGCACTAACAGACTTACTTACTAAAAACGAATTTTCACTTTTGATAAAAATCCATCGAATTTACATTTGACAGGTCCAAGTCGCCCAAATCAAACTTTTATTGCATCGTAGTCAGCGTCAAGCCAACAATAAAACAATTGAGGAGCAGACTTTCAAAATGCGTTTTGTTTAAAATTTATAATTTTCAGAAAACGAGAAAGAAAGCCGCAAGAAAATTACATGCCTTAAGAAAATAATATAATAATTTGCCAATCAGAAATAATAATTTGCCAATCACACACACATACAGAAATAATAATTTGCTAATCACAGATATGATGTGAAATGTTAAATAAAATTGCTAAATAATTATTAAAAATGATAAACAAATGCATTTTGTTTGTCTCTAGTAAAAGGACATAATGCACTTCGAATGTCTAGACTTTTTTCAGCATACAAATTGATGGCGGAAAAATGGTTTCAGACCATCATAGAGTAGCTTAAAATATGAGTAGTTTAACACTGAAATTATGCCATATTTAATTTAAAAAAATGAAATTTTCGACAAAATGCATTTTGAAAGTTTGCTTCTTAATTGCATCACAGCTATTGACAAAGGTTTCAAATTTTTGTACTCTCTCCCTCCCTCCCCCATTTTTTCAATTCTATAATATTAATCGTACAAAAATAACGCTCGACTGAAATTTTCATCCGAATTCAAGTAACCCTCTCATGTAGTTGAGGGTTAAGATTACAATTAAAATATAATATTATATTTAAAAAGTATTTGATTATGATTAATAATAATATATTGTAAATAAATAAAATGTTTTATAAATGTCCGGACATGAAACATTTAACTTATCTCATCTCATCTTTCACTTTTCTTATCTCTATAATCTATATTATTTTAAATTAATTTGATCTTGCATTACTAATATACGGAAAGTCTCAATAACGTTTGACAGTTGGCATTCTAGCTTAAGTAATAATGTAACGCTTGGAAGATAGCATTCTTATTTCTTTCCTACTGACTGCATCGGTGTCAAACACCCTCACGGGTTAATCGTCCGTACGAGGACGTTTATAGATGCTTACAGGACCCGATCGTGTCTCGCAAATCGAAAGGCGAATCGCCTTGCGCATTCGTTCGCCTTGGCTCGGCTAATATCACAGATGAAAGTGAGTTTACTGGCGCGACACGTTCATCAGTAAAAGGATGAGCCCGCAAGTTGCCTCTCTCTTCGCTGCGAGAAGAGACTTCCTCTCCGCCTTCCTCGCGCGCAGTCAAGAAGACGAATAGAGAGGCGTGGGAGATCGTGTCATTCACTAGGTAGTTCTTACTACGCTATCGGTACGTCGCATCACGAGAAACGATCGAAAGTTGCACTCCGTGCGGCTGTGGTTTCTTTTATGGTTTCTGGCCACGGTATGGCACATGTCGTGACCCTCACGGCAATTCGTAAAACGTTCCGCAGAATCTAGCCGTATGATACATTGCATCGCCTCGAGGTTTTGTCGAGCTTCCGCTATTATTCTTTGGTGTATCTGAAAACGATCTTTTCTCGGCGAAAAAAAGATCCGACTTGCTGCTTTTTTCTTTTACACTCTTAAGAGTTTTAATCTCGGGAGCGAAATGATGAAGTAACATTTAAATTAGGACTGTACATAGGAAAAATAACGAAATACGAGGGAAAAATAAGGAAAAATAAAGAAAAAAGTAGAAACGCGTTTATCAAATTTAATTTTAATCCACTTTTTAGTTGAGTACGATTCTCGCTCAACGCATTTCTGGTAAAGCTATCCACGCCTTGACATTGAAACCAATACTAGTCTTTTTATATCGGCCTACATTATTTACTGGGTCGAGAGAAAGTGCCTGAGATCGTATAGCAACTGTTTCGTAAGATTTGCATCAATCTTTAGGAGCTGCGTATGTGATATCTGATGAATTTGGAGGTGATGAAATTTTATGCGACTTTTTCTCAGAATTTTATTTTCATTATGTATTATAATGTCAGACGATGATATAAGAGGAAAAGGATTCCTCTAGCAGATTAAAGAAATTGAATATATCTGTGACTAATAATAAGACAAGGAGAAAGCAAAGACTAATTTTGTAAGATTAGTCTTTAGATTACGAAGATGAAGATTGAAAAGAATAAAATTCCTTTTGTTTTTTGCCTCTCCTCGCTTCAAACATTTCATTCTCTATGATTTTGTTCGATATTGCAAATCAAATACTTGATGTATTTGTCATTTCACATTTTGCATTTCTTATTTTGAGAAATTTTATAGAAAACATTATTAATTATAAATCTTCTTATTTTTCTAGTTTTATAAATTAGCTCAATTTATTACACAATTTATGTTCTCTAGTATTTTTACTTACAAAACTGCGTAATCATCATTTCTATTACTGTAATCAATAAGATGATTGGAAGTTAGCAAGCTGAGTTTGAGCCTTCTTGTATATGTAATAATGAAGATACGTAATAAACAGCGCAATCCTGGAGAAGACTCAGATAAGAATCAGAGAGTCGTGACATCGAAAGTTCATAGCAATAGAACGCGCGCGTCCTGAATTGAATGGCTAGATGTTGCCGCAGAAACGTACTATCGTAAGGACAGATATAACTAAGAACAACTATTACGACAGTTTTATCGGTAAATAAACATTTACTCTGCACGTTTAAATATTTGGCATTATCTTCATTGCGCGCACGACCGCTAAATTTCCAAAAGCCGGAGGGTAGTTTCAAATAAGATGAGTATGTAGTTTCAAATGAACGCGATTTGTGAAATTATAGAATTCCATGATGCAGTGCGTGCATGACCGCGCTTATCATTATTACTTTGATAAATTAATGTTTATCTACGATCAAGATAGCGATTTAGATAGCCGATTTAACTTTAAGACTTCAATATTGCTGGAGGAAGATTTTGATAATCATTTTAAAAGGATCGTTTTTAAAGGAATTAATGTTCCTTGAAAAATTCCATAAATTTAGAGTAACAAGAACAAATGTTATGTATTTTGACAATTACAATTACGATTTTTTTCATGCAATAAGTATTACATTAAAAATAATGTATAAAAAATAATATATTAAAAATAATTTTTGTTGTCTAGAGAGAATATATTAAGAATAGAATAGAAGAATATTGTTAATTCGGGTCACAATTTCTTCGATGATCTGAGATTAACTTCTAATTTGTTACTAAAAAAAAAGTGCAATAACTTGATGACACTAATTACACTTGATACAGACATCCATATAATCAATACCCATTCATTAAATTCCATTTATTTTCATACCTTGCAATTTTAATATTGCTTAAATAATTATACAGTTACTTAAACTATCTTTGCAGCTTATATAATTAACGTAGATTAAGCGATTAGTTTCATTCGCATCAATGTAAAATCAGTTATCTTAGCTTATTTAAAAATTAAAATTATTTACATAATAAAATCTGTATTTTTTTGAGCGATCACTTACAGCTTTCTCTACTAGTTCAGTCCCAAAGATTACCTGACTTTTTTCGCCACACTATCACGCAACTTTTAATTCTCCTAATCTTGAGTCATCTATTTAGGCCTATTTTGCTTGTGTTGGTTCACATTACTGTCTAAACGATTGAAAGGCACAAAGAAAATCTAAGAAATATGATGTAATAAGATTGTTTCATAAAAAAGAATTTGAAATCTGAAACGTGTTTTATAGAAGAACTTATCATTTTAACGTGATATGTAATTATATTTAATACTTTCGGATATTGGACACTTACCAAAGAATTATAGTTATACGTTACTCAAAGCGTCAAAAAACTTAGACATTCTGTGAAATTTTTCAGGTACGTTCCATTTGCGATAATCTAATTATATAGCTTAGGATCGCACATAAAGGCAGCACAGACTTTTGCACAATATAATGCATAAGAGAACCAACCAATCAAAGTTCTTTATTTTCATTCACGGAATTCTTTTATGCGTTATTATATGTTATACAAAAATCTGTATTATGGCCTTAAACATGATTTCAATCCCACGTGCATATAGGATGTTGAATACACGGATAGCTGCACGGAAAGAACGACTTTGCTGAAGTATCCAAAAATTTAATTACATAGATACAGATTTGAAAAGAATTTTATTGCATTATCAAAATAGTGATGTAGAAAGCCTATGTCTCCAGCACATAATAAGCAAGAAATTTTGACATTCTAGCAGTTTAAGCGTCTTTCATTTTGTTGATATGTAACAAAATTATTTTTGGATCTACATCCATAACTAGATTTTCTAATTCTTTAGCAAAATCATTCTTTCCATGTAACCAGTCGTGTAATCCTACGTGGGAGATGCTCGGGGGATCGTTCCAGTCGTTTCAGGATCGCGGCAATTCACTGTGTTGATCAACCGGCCCTGAATATCGGCGCCGCGCCGCGCCGGGTCGGTGGGGATGGAAATCCTGGCATGAGATCCGTGCGCCCCACGGACGACTCGTCAGTATCGTGCCGCGACTCCCTCGCGACGAGAGAGAGCTCGCTCCAAGTTCCTTCGGCCTCGGCTGTACGCTGTTGACTCTTCCCTTTTCTTCCTCTTCCTTTTCTCTTTTTTTCCTTCTCTATCTTTCTCTGTCTTATCCCTTTTCCTCCTGCCGATCGTTCACGCGAACGAGATCGCATCCGCGTTCGCGCGCGTGCGACGCTTCGCTCCGGTATCGGCCGGAGTTTTCCGGAGCCGGCCGCGTGTGTGCTACGACTTTGGAAATTTAGAGGATCAGCAAACGAGAACCCCAGGATAGTATTTTCGCCATCGCCGTCGGCGATTGTTGTCAGATGGGATTTAACAGGTACGAGGTGGTCGTGCACGTTATTTTACAGAGATTAACTCGCATAAATCTGAATGGATATACTGTTGCTTCTATCACTGGTAGTTTGGTACTTTTCTATTTTAAAAAGCTTCAATAAGTATTTAGTTTCATCTGCCGTCTATTTTATTTTTTCATCTTTTTGCATTTTGGACTGCGCCTTTTCGAAATATGAAAGTCAAACTAATAGGAATAAATGAGCAAAAAATAAGGGCGAGTAGAATAATTAATTGTATGTGCCATGTATGTCTTTCTTTATTCTAGATTTAGTAATTTTTTAATAAAAATATAATTTTTAATAATCAGTATATAGATGTTACATTTATATATGGAGCACAAAAACAAGGATATTCAGATAATTCTGATAAAATCTGATAAAATATCATTTTGTTTAATGGATTTAAAATGCAAAACAATGCTGCAAAACAGTTCTTGAATTTCAGAGTTAAAATTTGGTCCAGGACAGTTTTATACAGAACGCTTGGTAATTTTGTTTAAAGTTTAAGATTTGATTTAGTTTATATATTCTAGATTACGAAGTTATTATCGCAAAATTCTATATTATGTGTATATTTTTAAATCAAATTACAATTCCTCGCTTAAACATCCTATCGAATTGCCTGCCAGTTTGCTCGTCGATGTTATTTAAAAAGTGCTTCTCTCTTTAAAGTGATACATCACTTACCTATATTGGAGAGAGGATTCTTCGCGTCTGAAACAGCTGATTACAAAGTATACGTTTGCACGTAAAGACCGCACTCGCGCAAAAATTCTACAGTAAATTGAACCGAAATTTATAAGTGCATTAGGTATGAGAATTTTCCAACGCGTCTAACTGAAGGGTCATCGTCGGGCTGGGCATTTTCGTAGCCGGAGATGTAACACGAGCTGACGCGGATCGATGGAGCATTACTTTACAAGAAGGAGATATTTAATGTAATCCTCTTAACTAAAGCAAATCGCATTTTTAGCATTTTGCTGTCAGATTTATTCCCAGTAAAATCTGCGTAAAGTATTTACGGTTTATTTAACTATTGGCTTATTTAATTATTAATTAAGTGGTAAGATAATAATTGGGCACTGTATTATTTCTATGCCATAAAAATATATAATAGACTGTATGTATATATTATTTTCATTTACAAATAAAATGATGGATCGTGCATATAAAACTGAAAATATGAATGCAAACAGAAAATACGTAAATGGATATAATAAAAAAATCTTTATTATATGTATAGTTACATTTTGGCAATTGGCTACTATGCCGTATGAATCAGATTTTTAATGAAAATTTTAAATAATTTCATCGAATATTTCTCAACATTTTACCGTTGAATTTCGTTTACATTTTACCGGACGCTTCTATCGTTCCCAAGGGTTATAGGCGCTTCAAGGGGTTGCCATTGAATCGAACAAACTTTGGCGCGTTTCCACGCGTCGCGTTGCCCCGCGCTCGTACAATCATTTTTATTATTCTCATCGACACCAGGAAAGGCGCAGTTTTTCAAACGTTATACATTTGAATAGCGACCATTGGAGTCCGACATCATGAAAACATTTGTTATAAAATAATTTCTCGTTTATTTTTGGCAGATTATTTCCTGAAGTCTTCAATATTGTTAAACGTAATAAAAAGGACATTCAAATGAATTGAATTTTACATTTTTACATGTTTTAATTCAGCGCAGTTTTTGACATAATTAGAATAAACAATTCAAAATTCAACTTCTTATATAGATTTTTAAAAAATGCCCTAAAGAATGTCGAAGGAACATTCCTGTGTCTTCTGAATGTCCTAAGAACATTCCAGGATGTTTTCGGATAAAATATATTGTATGGGTCGATAGTGAGTCATTAAAAAACAATACAGAATACATACACACACACACACACACACACACACACATACTCTCTCTTTTATATACAGGATATTATGTTATATAAGTTCCATAATGTATCGAGGGATTAACTCAGGAACAACTCTAATATGTCTGGCATTTGTATTATTTGTAACATTCAACATCTGCTGTTGCACAATATACAGGAGAGTATCGAACACCCCTAGTCTTCCTCCCGGTTATTATGCGAAACTGGATATGGAATATTTGTGGTATCGCAAACTAAGATTGAAGATCCGCGAAGCATTCGCAATGTGAAATGTCACGATATCAATGATATTAGGTTCCTGGAGCATCATTATTATCCGTTTTGCATCCGTTTTGCGTCGTCGACAGTCGACTCAGTGGAATTATTTACTGAAAGGTAGCTGTGCGATATATATTTTGCTACTCCATTATCGCGCAAGCAGACTGACAGATCCTTCCGAGTCTTTAGCTTTTGCTTCGTCATCAAACATCGTGCTTAAATTAGATACCGATGTTTCTATATAGTTGACATAACAATCCTTGCGCTTGTTATTTATTAATGTGCTCACGAATATTCGATTTACGTTAATGTAAAATTCATAAATCTGCTTCTCATAATCCTTTCTATTAATTATTTCGATTAAAATTGATGTAATTATAATTAAAATCAATGTAATATAATATAAAAAACTGTTGCTATATAATTATGTTATATATTATTAATTGTTATTCTGTGTTTAAATGATAAAGATTAATTCTTCTATACTTCAACAGATAGAAATAGTGTTCGATAGAATAACTTGAAAGATATAATAGTTGTGCGATGTCAAGCAAATTTTATTCCCTTAGGAGGTTCTCTTATATGCGAATGGGGCAGACCCAATTTGTGCTATCGTGTCGACAGATCCTTCTAAAAGTCCTTAACTTTAGCCTCTCTCGGCAAGAGAAGAAACGAGCTACATTCAGTATTGCTGAGATCAAATTCAAAAACATACTTATCTGTGAAATGTCTTTATTTTCATTTTTCCGACATTTATTATATCACACTGTTTGCTGTGCTGAATACATTTTCGTATTTTATAATTGTGTTATTCAAGAAGTTATTAATTGCGTTTTACAAGTAAATACTGAAGCAGTTAATGGAATAATGAATTATATTGTTGTTTGCTTTCCTCGGTTTATGTTTAATAAGTTTACATTTAATAAATGCAATAAAATTCTATTACGTTCGTTAGTTAACATACGTAATCTAATTAGAGTTAAGTCTTTAGTCATGAGAACCAACTTCTTGCTCGACTCGATGTCGAACACGATGATAGTAAAGCGGGACGTCCTTAAGTCGATCTCGTCGAGGTCGCCATAATTAATTAATCTTGTCTCTAGCTAATTAATTAATCTGCGCTCTACAGTGAATGAGGCACGCAGAATGTGATGTTGGACAAAGCGGTGGATCGTTAAGCAATATGTCATAACGAAATGTGTGTATGACCCATTTTTGCACGCGAACTTCCAGGCACGCAAAGTGGAAATCTCGTCCCGTCGTTCCTCTCTCTCTCTCTCTCTCTCCTCCCCTTCATTCTCCCTCTTTCTCTTCTCGTTTTGTCTCTGTCTGACAAAAACGTGGCGCAAAAGAGTCTCACGCTGTGTGGCCAACATCAGTGTAATTATACTCGGGTGTAACACGTTGTGCAGCACACTCGAGCTTGTAGGCGCGCGAGCTTCTTTCGCGAGAGAGAAAATGTACGTCGAAACATTCTTTCTGTTAATAAAGCAATAAAATTTCTTCATCCTGTTAATTCTTACGCGAGTTATTCGGTCGTTTCTATTTCTGTCTGAGCGAAAGAAGAGCTATTGAATTCCGCTTCGTTCGTACAATTCGCTTGAAGTTTATTCGATGGAGAATTTTATTAAATAGCCGAACTCTCTGTGCACAGAAATGAATTATTTCAAGCTTATCACGTTATGTCTAAGCTAGGTTTGTTAAATATTTAATGGATTTCATGAAATGTAAGACAATTATATCCATCATTTCCGTTAAATCTACTTTTGATTAATTCTTCCTTTCTATTAAAACAAGTATCAAGATAGATAATGACGTACACAGAATATACTCGTGTACCTTAAGATGCAATTTATCTCATTTCGTTAGATAATGTGTAAAACGTCCTACTTTCGAAATTGTGTAGTTTTACTTATCGTTCTGACAGATCTCGCACCTGCTTAATACTATTAGAGAGACTTATTATTTACATAGTTGCAGAATTAGAAGATTAAGAGAATAATTTATTCTATTATTCTAACAAGAACTAGACTTATGCATATTTTGTAGTAAATTAAAAACTTAATTTGCATCTACACATTCACACACGCAAAAGTGTCTAAATATATTTATAGATATTATTTATCTGTATCATCGTTGCCTTCATTGTCTTTATGATTGTGATTTGGTCAAGTCGAATTTCCAATTATTATCCCTGATTGATCTTGGCGGGAGCTTCACGTGCTATCGACACGGCGCCAGATTAGATCCGGATTACAGTGATTAGTTCCAGATTCAATTGTACCGTCTAGTTCCGAAATGCGTGTGTGTGATATCTACAAATACCACAAGCTCTAAAAGGAAGTCATAAAGTAAAGCTATTCAATGTCAAATCGATCATTTAATTAGAATATTGAGGAGAAGCAATTATTCAGAGTTACGATTAATACGATCAATGAGTGAAAATAAATCTGTCGAATGTTCAACGTCAATGAGAAAATCCGTGCGTTGTACGATATAAATGATACGCGATACGTATATGTGAGGTGAATTGGTAATTTATTATTTTATTGGATTTTATTTCGACATGAAATTGTATGGCACGAAATTCGAGTTTTGGAAGTGATAAATCTGACAATAAACGCAATCTGCATATTATGACAGCAGAAAGTTTTTCAATGACAACAAAATATCGTATGACAAAACAGGGATTTTTTCGCAATTTAATAATTTCCCTTTGCGTTGGATGTATCGGTTTTTACTCCCACGAGCGTCCTTTCAATTTCGGAAATAACGATATCAACGTGTACTGCGACATTATGACCGCGATATGACGGCGCAATCACAAACGCGAT